TTTTTTTTTTTTACACTTCATATTATGACAGCAATATATTCCAAGTTTCAAAGGTTTGACAAGTTTGGTTGAAAGTCTCTCATCAGTAGATGGCAACTCTCACAACCGATCGTCTTCTGCCGGGAGGCCTTGGTGTCACTCGCTGGTTTGAGGTCGAATCCACTTCAAGGCATGGCATGGTGGTACAGTAATGGCGGGATGGTAGAACGCACAGTCAGGTCTTGTACACTGAGTGTTAAACCTACAGTGTTTTGGATGATAGAAGGGACATTCCATCTTCTTACAGGCAGGAAAGTAGCGGCAGAGCTGAGCGCTAGAAGGTGGTGTTGGCGTTGTAACTGGCTTGGGAGGCAGCACTGGGAGTCTCCTACTCAGGTGAGTGAAGGGGCAGTCTGGCTTAGTACACTTTGCATCATATTTAAAATTTGGGTGAACAAATAAGCATTTCTCAGCAAACTTACAATTGGGGAAAGCTTTGCAAGGTGAGACGGGGTGGTGGTAGGCACACTCATCCCCATTCTTGCACGCAGGCCAGTACTTGTAACGCTCCAGAAGTTTCTCTGGTTTCAGGGCCACACTCAGTTCACTCGTCTCCACGTTTGCAAAGCTACCATTGGGGTCCTCCAGCTGCCTGTGCATCAACTGCAACTGCTGTGGGTGGAGGAGACCTTTGAGTCCCTTGTTTGAGGCTGCCGTCTGGTTTACTGGTTTCATTCCTTCAAAGCACATGTCTTCCCCTTGATCTGACATGTATCCTGGGGGACGGGGGACACCATCCAGCATCACTATAAACTTGGGACTTGCAGGTTTATCTGGTTGTACAAGATCTTGTGGCATCTGCACAAGGTGTCCTGAAAGTACCCGAAGGGTTTCTGCAGTCTTCATCACCGACTCGTGGTTGGGTGCCACGACTGTCTCCTCAGACAGCGTTAGCTTCTTCAGAATAAACGGTCTCATGTCTGCATGGACCGTGGACTCCATGTCAGTGTAACCTTGAGTGAGCTGCAGACTTTCTGCCGTTCCTGGATCAATTTGCAGTCGGGAGAGCAATTGTCTCTCTTGCGGTCCTTGACGTTTCTCTACCATCTCTCCTTTGGCCTCCTCTGCTTTGGTCGTGGGACTTACTCTGGGCACCCGGCTCTGCCCCTGGGCCGCTTCTGCCAACAGTTTTTCTTGAGAAGTCCGAGTTCTAGGAGCAACTGGAAGTGTCTGTTTTTGTGGGACTGTAGAGTAGTTTGTTGTTCTGGTTACAGATTCTTGCGCTTCAGATATAGCCTTTAAAATGAGATTCTTGTTAGCGTGCTTAGAAGGTGGCAGGGAAGGTCTCCTCGCAGGCTTGGCTGGCACCGACACACTACTGGAGATGCTTCCTGAGCGGGAGCCGTAGTCATCGTCTTCCTCCTCCTCCTCCTCTCCATCCTGATCGAATCTTTTTACTTTAATCACTGAACTTAGCACAGGCAGTTTTCTCTTCCGAAAAATTTTCTTCCTCGACACTCATTTTTCCTGAGCTGTTCCTGAAGAAGGGACTGTAAGTCTTCTTCCCTAAGCTGGTAAGGACTTCTGGCTTACACAGCCGCCCGAGTCACACACCCAGCTGTTCTGAATGTCGGCTGGTTTGGCAGCGTGAATACTGTTCTGCTGTGGTTGGAACTGCAACCTGTTTAAATGAGCACCACCAACTGCATTTCGACTGGGAGG